CTATTGCATCTGCTGTTCATGTCTCTGATCCTCCATGACATCCAGTGATGGGTCCATGCTCTATACATCCTTTTTTCCAGTGGTGAGGCTCTCACATCTATTTCCACACCTTTCTTGTAAACAGAGTAAACTTATAAATCTTCTCTCAACTTGCCTGCCCTGGACGTGCACAACTCCGTAACACTGCTATGACTCAGGCTGGTCCACAAGGTACCACACTCAACCATGGACAACCTACAACTCCAATATTCCAAGATGCCTGCCACCTTGTTTAGCTCTGCCCTGAGAGGCATTAAGTCATGGTATATTCAGCTGTGAGATATCTCCAAACTTATCAGGTGTCTCCAGAGTCATACCTTCTCCCTGGACTCAGCTGAGAAGATTATATCAAAGACTGAAACTCTTTCCAAAGACCCAGCAACCATTAAACGAAATCCATTTTCCTCCATCTCTTTCTGCCCTATGGTTGAACCCATCTTCTTCAAGAATAGCTCCTGGAAAGAAAATCATTAAGCAGAATATCTGCAATCCACGATCTCCCTTGTGGCAGGAGGAGGGAGACGGGGAGCCACTCTGGGAAACAAAGAAGCTAATCTAGCCAAATCTCCTTACCATCATGCCGACAACAGATGGCCTGGTACACGCACTCATGGGGTTCTCTCAAGAGAGTCTTCATCTATGAAAATATTTTAGCAGAATATACTTGATTTGCCTACGATTGTTGGTACTAAACAAACAAATCTACAAATTTATGGCACATGGCTTCCTGGAAAATGTCACATAAGCTATACAACCACCTGGAAATTAAATGATAATGTGTCACAGCAAAATGGCCCTCTTTTGTGTCGTTTATGTAGACACAAATATCACAGAGAGGCGCACGTAGTAACCTGAGCCAGAGCACATCTTGACTGGCAAGAAATAACCTGAGTAACTGCACTGAAGGTCCAGATCTCTCCCTGTTTCACCTGTGCCTCATGATTATATGTCTTCTTGAAATTATTAGCAAAGCTTGTTATTGGGTAAGATTTCTCATGTGAGCGAGTCTGATTTGACGATCCAGCCCTTTGTATTATCTCTACTCATCACTAATTCTCTCTTACTGGTTTAAGCTCTATGCTCTGAGTCATTCAAATTTGAACTGTTGATATTTTTAAATTAGATTACAAAATTCAGGGAATTCCTTGGCAGTCCAGTGGTTAGGACTCCGTGCTCTCACTGCCAAGGGTGTGGGTTCAATCCCTGGTCGGGGAAGCTAAGATCCTGCAAGCCAGTGTGGCCAAAAAAAAAAAAAAAGATTATAAAATTCACTAAATGCTTCTGACTCTTAACAATTAAAAGGAGGGATATTTCTGAATATTGTGTGCTTGATGCAGTGAACATAAAAGACTCTAACTGATGCTTGAATGGTGAGAAGAATAAGGATAACAAGAACATTAAAAACACATAATCCAATATTAAAATATAAAATAGTACTCGTAATTCAGAAGTTTACTGTGGCAGTATCACTCCAGCATCCTAAAATACATTAGAGTCACACTTTTACCACGCTATCTTCCTAACTGGATGAGCATTCAATTATTTTAGCTGGATACAAATAGTTATTAATATAATTTTTGTTAATAATATTGTGAATAGATTTGATAAATTCCTACATCATCATATATTTACAAGTATTGTTTAAAAACAAACATGGACTATGAGTGGTCTCTGTGATCTTGCCTAGGACATGGACAGAAAGACTGAGTGCAATATGCAGTTACAACAATCAAATTGTGAGCATTAGATTTGTTGAATTCTTATAAAGACGTTTCTTTATCAGACATGATTTGATTACACAGATATATTGCTAAGTATGACATAAGATGATTGACCATTGTATAAACAAAGTATCATATTCAATGATTGAACCCCAACAAATATGAGCCTCGAGTCTACATAACACAAACTTTAATACGAAGCCCCAGAGTAATCTACACAGATTAGCTGTCTGCCTTATGGTAGGAATAAGATTTTCAACTTTAATGGAAACTAACTCTAAGTGAATAAAAAATTATTATTACAAAAGCAAAAAAGTAATACACCGGGTTTTCCAAATGAATCTACCATTATGGACCAAATTGTATGACATATACTTGAGAATTTAATTATTTCTCATTAAAATTAAGTATTGATATATTTCAACTGGTAACTATTAAAGAGTCTATTTTTCATGTTTATGTTTGGTATTTTTTCTTGCCAACGACGTAAAAGAGCTAACAAGATTTTATGAATGTAGAAAGGGAGAATAAGTACAAAGACCTTAAACAAGAAAGTTTAGGGACTTCCCTGGCAGTCCAGTGGTTAAGGACTACGCCTTCTGGTGCAGGGGGTGTGGGTTCGATCCCTGGTTGGGGAGCTGGGATCCCACATGCCTTGTGGCCAAAAGACCAGGGCATGGAATGGAGGCAATATTGTAACAAATTCAGGGGGGACTTTAAAAATGGTCCACGTTAAAAAAAAAAGAAAGAAAGTTTAAAACCTCTGTTTAGACCATTTCTTTTAAAGTGAAAATGAATGAAAATAGTTCTAATAATATTTCCTAGTATTACAAATTTTTCTAGTTTAAAAATTAGAATTCCTATGAGGTTCTGCAAATGTGTTATTCTTTATGAGAAACTGGGATTGTTTCATTACTAGAAGAAAATATCAGAACATAAAATTTTAAAATCCAGAGGTTTTTATAGATCTTAAGGAGATGTATTATGATAGTGCTTCTTAAGGCCACGTATTTAATAAACGGAAGTGACAGCATGGCTCTAGGGCAAATCTATACATTTAAATAAAGAGTACAGTGACACTGTTCACATACAAAACATTTTTTGTACCAGTGATATATTATTATATGTTGCCAAATGGACCTTAGATATTTGTCTACATAGCGCAGAACTAAATGTAATAAAACCAGACCAGCACCTGTTTAAGTTTACATTATTTTGTGCACATTACTACAGAACGCAGAGTTTTTCAAGCAACATTCAGGTAAGATGCTTCACCGGATAGAACCTGTTCTATTTTTAAGTCAGGGCTGCCCAGGCAAAACCAACCTTCCCAAGTGAAATAATAAACAAAAGTGTGTGCTACTAGGATGGTATTTTGTGGGAGTATATCACACAGTGCAGTCTACAATTTAGAAGAAATTTATTCTAAATATATACCATTCATAATATGGTATACATTAGACTATGGGCTCTTTTATACATATTTTTTTTTACCCTGAGTCTTTTATACAGTATGTATAACTATAAAGAACTCAGAAAACTTTCTACTCTTTGATATACTTGGATGTATGGTCCAAATGTGGCATCCTCAGGCTGTAGCACAGAAAACCTACCTTATAGTTATCAATACAGGAAGGAAGGAAGGAAGGAAGGAAGGGAGGGAGGGAGGGAGGGAGGGAGGAAGGAAGGAAGGAAGGAAGGAAGGAAGGAAGGAAGGAAGGAAGGGAGGAAGAAAATGCTGCTGGAAATTAAAAAGAAAAGTGATTTCTAGATAAAATAATGTCAATCCCGAAAGAATGATCTAGTTTTCAGTCTGTGGACACCCTTGGAGGGAAAAGCCTTCTGTGTGTTTGTCAGCAAATTTCATATACTGACTAATCTTTGTCAACTCAATGTAGAAAGTCAAAATACAAAGAGGCAAACTATTTTGAATTAACTGTTTAGATCATATATACACAATGCCTAATAGTTTATAACTTTTCTAATTAACAATGAGAATATTGTTTTATAAATGCTTCTTTAACTAATTTTTATTTTTCTAAATTAAAATTCAGCTTAGTGGGCTTCCCTGGTGGCGCAGTGGTTAAGAATCCGCCTGCCAATGCAGGGCACATGGGTTCAAGCCCTGGTCTGGGAAGATCCCACATGCCGTGGAGCAACTAAGCCCGTGTGCCACAACTACTGAGCCTGCGCTCCAGAGCCTGCGAGCCACAACTCCTGAAGCCCGGGTGCCTAGAGCCCGTGCTCTGCAACAAGAAAAGCCACCGCAACGAGAAGCCCGTGCACTGCAACAAAGAGTAGCCCCCGCTCACCGCAGCTAGAGGAAGCCGGCGTACAGCAACAAAGACCTAACACAGCCAAAAATAAATAAATTAAATAAATAAATAAATAAATAAAATTCAGCTTAGTGAGTTTATGAGTTTAGATCAATGGTTTTCAATCCAAAACCCTGGACTCCAGGGTTCACGCCAAAATGGACTCCAAAATAACAATAATGATGCTAATGATAATACTGATAAAATAATTAAAAAAAACCACTTATTGTGTGCCTACTGTATTCCAGAAACTGTTTTATATACGTTACATCTATGAAATATTTAATCCTTTGCAACAAAGCTGTAAGCTTAGTGTTCTTCATTCTACAAACAAGGAGATTAATGCAGAGAGAGAGATGAAGAAGCTTTGACCAAGGCCACTCAGTAACTGGCTGAGTTAAGATTTGAACCCAAGCAGCCTAGATATTTTAATCACTCTGCATACCACCTTTCAAGATAGTCATGGGAAGTCTATGAGCTATTTTCAATTTCAAACTGTCTTATAGACATTGCTCGTTTATCCATTTTGGATGAACTAAATAAAACACCATTTCTTTGACTTTGGTCAAAATTATGTCAATTCAGAGTGGTAACACTAATTGATTACAAATTACGATCTGAAGTCTGTAGATACCTTGGGACACAAGGAAGATCATGACCTATCCATCATCTCACAACCAGTTGTTAGGAAAATTAAAACAGGAAAACCTAGCTGTGGGGGTTTCTTGCCAATATGCTCCTGAACTTCCATCTACTTTCTTTAATAAAATAGTACATCAGAATCTCCGTCACACAATGTTTCATGTTTTTCACTGCACTTTCTCACCTTAGCCCATTTAAAATATCTGTAGCTAATGCTTTAAAGACTTGCAAACTTTTAAAGTGGCTTCTATGCTCAAAAAAAATGAAACAAGGTAAAACCTACTTTTTATCCAGTCAGCACATCCTCTGGTAACATATTCTGTTTCTTCCATCTAATTTTAAGGTGCCCATTTGCAGTGGTGTATAACAATCTGATAAGGATTCATTGCAAAATTCAGTCACAGGGTCAGTCAATCTGAAAAAAAATAACGTTCACACAAATCCGACCTGGATCAAAATATTTACTGCAGACATGAAAGTCAGCTAGGGTTGGGGTAGAAGTGACAGAGCTATAGAAATGTAGCACACTCATAATCTTTCATTTCTGCCCTGGAGAGGCTTGAAACGTTGAAGCCAGGAACTAGAATATGATCAAACAGCCCTGCTTGTACGTAGCTAAATTGATAAAGCCATGAAAACCTAAATCTAAATTATAAACCACATTTATGAAGTCCTATCAAACTGAATTGTTATCTTTAGGTGTTTAAAACAAAAATTCTGAACACTGAATAATGGACCAATAAATGCTTAATGAAGGAATTCTACCAATCAACACTTTATCTTTTGAGATGGTTTCTTTCACGTCTCTAAAATCCACATGAGGCCAAAACTTGCAACCTATTCCTAGCGATTTGTGGAAGAAGGAAAAGGTGCTGTATGACTCAGAGAAGGAAGCCTATACATTTTGAATATTGAGAAGGTATTTTAAAATGTGGGTAGAAATACAATATGTGTCATAAGATTATTTGTTTGCAGTAGTGAATGGTCACAGCATTCTACAAATTATCCACTAATCACCATCAGTAAAACAAAAAATGTAAGATGGTGACAGATTCGACACATAAGCCATTTAGTTCATTTTGAACTGTCATTTGGTAGGTTAAAAAAAATTAAAGAGAAACATTCAAAACCGAATGGTCAATTCGTATAACCATTTTAAGCTTAAATGTTTAATTTGACAAAGATTATATGGTATAGAAAAACACCCAACAGTTCAGATTTTGAGAAGTGGGTAATTCTATCACATAAAGATAAGGATGAAGAAAGAAAGAATATAATCTCCTAATTTCACACACTTAAAATTGCATGTCTTATATTGTTTGAAGACTGGACATGCTGACAATGCATCTACAATAACAGTCTTAGATTGTACGTGTTGGCTTGCAAAGTCATGAAAATAGTATACATCCATCCTCAACACTCCCCTGAATTACCTAGAAAAGGAAGGGAAACTCTTTCACATGTACTTATCACAGCAACATACCATAACATTTTCAACTCTATGTTTTTGACATGAATAAACAAATCAATTTGCAAACGTGCATTTTTTTTTTTTTTTTTTTGCAGTACTCGCTCCTCTCACTGTTGTTCCCTCTCCCGTTGCGGAGCACAGGCTCCGGACGCGCAGGCTCAGCGGCCATGGCTCACGGGCCCAGCCGCTCCGCGGCATGTGGGATCTTCCCGGACCGGGCCACAAACCCCTGTCCCCTGCATTGGCAGGCGGACTCTCAACCACTGCGCCACCAAGGAAGCCCCAATGTGCATAATTTTTCTCCAAATGTCCTTTCTAGTACTACTATTTGACATAAGTCAGATGGTATAATGGTATAATACTCAGCCGTAAGAAAGAATGAAGTAACGCCATTTGCAGCAACATGGATGGATCTCGAGATTACCATACTAAGTGAAGTAAGTCAGAAAGAGAAAGACAAATATCATATGATATCACTTACATGTGGATTTAAAATATGACACAAATGAGCTTATCTACTAAACAGAAACAGACTCGCAGACATAGAGAACAGACTTGTGGTTGCCAAGGGGGGAGGAGGGGGGAGATGGGATGGATTGGGAGTTTGGGACTAGCGGATGCAAACTATTACATAGAGAATGGAAAAACAACAAGGTCCTACTGTATAGCACAGGGAACTATATTCACTATCCTATAATAAACCATAATGGAAAAGAATATGAAAAAGAATATATATATATATATAAAACTGAATCACTTTGCTACATACCAGAAACTAACACAATATTGTAAATCAACTATACTTCAATAAAATGAATTTTTTTAAAGAAGTTAAAATTAATTATCACCCCTAAATATTCCCTTCAATGAACAATCTACTATAAAAGTCTTATTGCCCTTAAAGACAAAACAACATGAATATTTCTTGAATCAAGGAAATAAAGGGAATGAGGTGATAAAGTCCATCAGTGCTGAGGAGATAACTCTTCCACAGCTGCTAGAGAAGTAAGTGATCCTTAACACAACTCCTGTTTTTTGCCTTTTATTTGAGCTGTATTTCCAACAATAACAACAAAATAAGCAGCAGAAAAAAATATTCTCTATGTTGGAAAAAATAGATGTAATCAAATCATAAACTGCAAAGTTTTCAGGGACTGATATATACGAGAATAAGCCTGAGCAGGGCCATTCATAGTGTCTTCCCTGGGCCAGTGCTGGATGAAAAAACTGACCCCAGTCCATGGTGAGATAAGGAGCTTGCAGCAGAATGTAAGTCAACTATTGTCACAAAATAATAATTAGTTCAACTTACATATTTTTCATAACAAGACTTCCTCAGTGAAGAAAGCACTGTGTAGATTTACATTATGGTAGAAGCTCTTTATCTCATTCTAGACTGGTAATAACTATGAATAACACTGAACTAGAGCAGACGTCAGTAAATTAAGGCCTGTGAGCCAAATCTGACCCACTACCTTTTTTTATAAATAAAGTTTTATTGGAACACAGGCATGCCCAATTTTTTTCTTACCCTCTACGGCTGCTTTCCCACTACAAAGACACAGTTGAGACCATCTGGTCCACAAAGCCTAAAATATTCAACATCTGACCCTTTAAAGAAAATGTTCCCTGACCCCTGAGCTGGAGGAGAAACACTATCTGGAAAGCTTTTGAAAAGGGAAATTGAAAAACAATAATCAAAACAGAGACATGAATTTAAAAAAAAATCTCTAAATGTGCATGTTAAGGCACATATATTTACTGTGTGCTGTTCTGGAGGAAATGGCATGGCCTTCATAAATCCAAAACAATGTAAGACAAATTACAGTTTGAGAAGAACTACACATTCCAACCACATTTTCTAACTTGGATGTCAACAGTAATTAAATAGTCCTAGGGAAATCATGACGATTGTTCAGGTTTTAACCTGAACAGCAGTCAATCTGGAATGTTATTGACAATAGAGAATTTCTATTCCCTATTCTGAGAGCAAGGAATGAAGTCTACACCTAGAAGATACTTTTACTCCTTTTTAGAGAGGCAGAACACCTTTCAACAAAAACCATGAGGGATCTTTAAAAAATAGGTTATGCCCTATATATAAAAAACTATATTTGAGAAAAGGTACATTTACAAACACATAAATGAAAATGAACAAACCAAATAAACCTCTTCTCCATTAATCTGAAATGTTTCCTTTAAATTATGAGACATTTTTACTTCTCTCAAGCCATATTTGAATATGTGGTTCTTTCTCTCTATGCTTTACCTAAAAGGAAGATGATACCACGAGAGAAGTTCATTAACAGTTTTATTTAGGGCTTCCCTGGTGGCGCAGTGGTTGAGAGTCCGCCTGCCGATGCAGGGGACACGGGTTCGTGCCCTGGTCCGGGAGGATCCCACATGCCGCGGAGCGGCTGGGCCCGTGAGCCATGGACGCTGAGCCTGTGCGTCTGGAGCCTGTGCTCCGCGACGGGAGAGGCCACAGCAGTGAGAGGCCCGCGTACCGCAAAAAAAAAAAAAAGTTTTATTTAATTGAAGAAACAATCATTTATGTATATAAATATCTTTGAAGAAACAATTATTTATGTACATAAATATCTATCTATCTATGTACATAAATATCTATATCTATATACACATACACATATGTAGGAAAGCAGAAAAACAAAAAAATCTTCAAATTTTCATTAGTCAAGATAAATGGAAATGAAATTTTTACATGATTTATCACATGCACAATAGTTGAATATGTTAAATGAGCAAAAATTTACATATAGCAGCTTCTGAATGTTTAAGTAATCAAAACAATTTGATTATATTTATTATATTATATTTGATTATATTTATAGATGAGACACTTAAAATATGTAGGCCAAAGTGATTATAGCAAGATGGCACAATACAAGGTTAAAAAGTTCAATTGCTTTCTTATATGACAACAATGAAAAAAGTGGAATTTGAAATTAAAAGCACAATACAATTTACATTAGCATCAAAAAAAATTGAATACTTAGGCATACATCTAACAAAATATGTACAAGATCTATATGAGGAAAACTAAAACTTTTTTTTTTTTTGTGGTACTCGGGCCTCTCACTGTTGTGGCCTCTCCCATTGTGGATCACAGGCTCCGGACACACAGGCTCAGTGGCCATGGCTCACGGGCCCAGCCGCTCCGCGGCATGTGGGATCTTCCCGGACCAGGGCACGAATCCATGTCCCCTGCATCAGCAGGCAGACTCTCAACCACTGTGCCACCAGGGAAGCCCAAACTAAAACATTTTGATGAAAGAAATCATAAATAAAAAGATATTCCATATTCATGGATGGAAACAGTCAACAGTGTCAAGATGTCCATTCTTCTCAACTTGATCTATAGGTTCAACACAATCCCAATCAAACTCCCTGCAACTTATTTTGTGGATATTTACAAACTGATTCTAAAGTTTATATAGAAAGGCAAAAGGCCCAAAATACTCAACATAATATTGAAGGAGAAGAACAAAGTTGGAAGACTGACACTACCCAACTTCAAGGGTTACTGTAAAGCTACAGTCATCAAGACAGTGTGTATTGGCAAAAGACTAGACAAAGAGATCAACAGGAGAGAATGGAAAGCCCAGAAATAGACCCATAAATATAGTCAACTGATATTTGCCAAAGGGGCAAAGGCAATACAATGGAGCAAAGATAGTCTTTTCAACAAATGGTGCTGGAACAACTAGACCACCACATGAAAAAAAAAAAAAATCTAGACACAGACATTACACCCTTGAGAAAAATAAACTCAAAATGGATCACAGACTTAAGTGTAAAATGTAAAATTATAAAATCTTAGAAGATAACATTGGAGAAAACCTAGATGATATTGTGTTTGGCAATGACTTTTAGATACAACACCAAAAGCACAATTCATGAAGGAAATAATTGATAAGCTAAAA